TGATTTACTTTTTATCAGTTGGTGGTATATTTCGTCTATATTAACATGTTTGTTAATTGCATTTTCGTTTGAGTACCAGGCTTTTAGGAATTCCCTGGAACTTTTTGGGTTTCCTCTGTATAGTATTTGATCTGTGTGCGTTGATTTTAAAATTGGAATCCAAGAACACAAACCAGCCGTGAAAAGACACGATATCAATGCACATAGACAATTATGGACATCAATTTGATTGGGATGATGTCGAAATCTTGGACACTAAAAGTGCCAGGGAATTCCTAAAAGCCTGGTACTCAAACGAAAATGCAATTAACAAACATGTTAATATAGACGAAATATACCACCAACTGATAAAAAGTAAATCAGGTGACGAGAAAGTTTAAAATCCAAGTCAATAGAAAATGGTCAATACATATGTAAAGATGGTTACCAGGAGACACAATTATATCACTTATGAAGAAATCGAAATCATTTCACTTTATGCAAAATATTTCGCTGAAGATGTTGTCCAGAAGGACGATGAAAGCTCCGCAACTAAACCAACCAGCTCAGAGAACACCATTAATTGCAAATACCGGATATTTTTAAACTACTCTACACAAATGCTTTCTCTGTATTTTCTTAAATAAATTGCACATAGAAGTATAAAGTTAATTAATTCAGTACAGCAATGACGCAGTCCTGTTATAATTGCAGTTAAGTGTTAAGAGACAAGTGACAAGAAGCCTTGGCTCTAAGTTTCATGTTTCTTGGTAATTGTTACAGAGGCGTAGGTGTAATCCTCGGGGATTTCATGTTCCTTCTGAGATTCAAACCCACATCAATCAGTGCTGCATTCAGAGACGTTACCATTGCGCCATTGGGGCTGGCAATTAACCTCCTGTAGGACAGTAATCAGCATTTCCATTGTACACTTCGTGGTAGCTAGTTTCATACGTCTAGTCCTGCGTCATTTAAGTTTGCTCAGTGGTAACACCTCTGACTGCAGCGGGTTCATATCTCAGAAAGGACGAGTTCCTTCAAGATTGCTGATTTGCCTTGCTGACGAGTGCCGAAAAACACGAAACCTAGTTTCAAGGCTTCTTGTTGTTTCCTTTCAAACATCTAACAGCGATTCAGGGTGAACTGTGAGGACGGGCCAGCTAATATGATGGGCACATTGCAAACATGACTGACAGAATTCAGTTCGCGCCAAACGAACGGCTAGATGTATGAAATTAGCTATTGTAATTATCTAAGTTTAGACCCTCTGAAAGAGTCATTGTTTTCCAGACTATTATCGATGTAACGAGTGAAGTGGAAGTCTGTTTTGTGGATGGTTTGTAATCATCACAGTAAATACTTAATATTTGTAAGCACATTTTTTCAAAAAGAAACATAAATATAATAGAACAAAGTATTCATTGTGTACTATGAACTGTAAAATCATATAAAATACTCTGAGTCTTTAAGATTTTCATACTGTATTATTTATCTGTTGCTATGTTACTTTGATATCTTTTATTTCTCTTAAATTAAAAGATAGAAGACTCATTTTGAAGTACACAGTGTTAAATTTCAATTAAGCACTAACGCGACAAGAATCAAAGGCTCATATAAAACCAATGAAGTTTATTTTAATCAGTCTTGTGAATATAGTGATAATAACCTTCAAATTTGCTGTTCCGTTTGGGAAAAAATGGCCTGATTAGTTATAAGGGAATATCAACAAGCAATAGTGGTGGTCAAACAATGTGCAAATAATACATAGTAAAAATAAGTAGCTTACTTCGCAAACAAACTAATCGAAATACCAAATAACTCAAATACACAAATCCGTAGAAGCGCTGGGGGTTACTTCTATTAACGGTTTACCTATATAAGTATTTTCTCAGTGAACACGATTTAAATAAAAACGTGCTATGAGAAAAACTGGGAATTCAAGGAAAGATTTTTATAAGTCTTGAAAGTTATCAAAACAGAAGTAGTTCATGCTTTAATCTTCATAATACTGCTAAAACTATAATTAACTACATTCATTTTGTGCGATGTTACTGAAAAGAAATTCGCAACATGTCAGTAATGGATAAGCGTTCATTGAGTAGTTTCATATTTTCAGTGTTACGGAGTTCCACAGTTTAGGGGGTTTACGTGCTAAGCTTTTACTTTCCTTCCATATACTCATTATGAAAAGATGATGAAGCATATACTTCTATGAGATAGTGTTGACTTTCTATCTACTACATTGTAAAAAAATCAAATTGCTTCAAGGATACTCTCAGTGTGCGAAGAATTCAGAGGTAGCAAAGCATATAAAAACAGTAAACATCTATGAAACCAAGGTTAGGATCGCAGATTACTTAAAACAACCCAACAGTAACTCAGATGACACGGCGGTGGTGAGTCTCTTGGTTTGGTGATCGATGTCATATGGCTGGCACTAGGGTCTAGACGTGATATTTACCATAGCCCAATGTTCAAACTGTTTTATAAAGAAGTGAGAGGCCAGTTCAGTTTGTCTGTTATTTCCTTAGTAACGTAGTTAAGAAAAAACTCGTTTTCAATAAATAAGTTACAATCTTAAAAAACGAAGAAACATTTTTGTGATTAGTAAATAATATTTGTACATGGTCAAATTCAGCACAGACAGAGTTTGAAGACAGCTTCTTGTTATCATTGTAAACAATGCAAAATGTACCAGCTTTAAAATCTCTAAATAAATGACATCGAAAGATACCTAACACTTTAACAGGTTATTTACATACATTAAAATGACTGTTCAAAATCGTGTTGATGCATAATCTTATATGTCCGAATAACTTAGCGTCGCCATCAAGCATGTTAAAATGTAGTTCCATTTCCTCATATTTAATAAGTTATCCAGATATCCCTTATAGAGACGGTAAATATTTTCATGCACAGAGATTTCACTTAGGAGTGTGCTAGATCGAGTGGCCACAGAGGATTTATGAGGGATCCTGGATTTTTAAAAAGAAACGTAGTTTAATTGCGGCTCAAATGACGGTGAAAACCTGGTTTTGTGGAGATTCTTGTTAGTGGCTTTCTACTTAACACTCTCACAAGCCAGGTAAGAAGTGTACGTGCTATTGGTGTAGTACCCACAACTGACTCATCAATGGCTTCTGATTATTTTCCACATAGATTAGTTAATCACCATGGTCTTCTATACAGGACGTCAATTAGTGGTGGAAATCACCTTAAACAGCTTTTTTGGTAAGATGTGTTTACGAGTAGTGGTATACTAGGTAACCTGTACCGTGGCGTTCACACTTACCGTTTTGTAAACAAACAGGGGCCGACAATACTTTGTCCTACTTTATGGCGAAAATAGAATTTTTCAGCATGTAACCATTAACAACAGCAAACTGATATTTTGCTTGTATATGCCTTTTTAAAACAAGGTTTTAGATTAACTCCCAAATCTGCCATATAGAAACACCTAAATATATAACTTGCCATTTCCTGGATATTGTTTTTAGACAAAAAAGCGCCTTTTTTTACTTTTAACTCTCTTCTCTAACCGTTCGTCAGCACGCGGAACTCAGTTGTTCTTGTTATTTTGGGTTACTAGTAAGTTACTCATAAAATGTTACGCCCCCTTAATCTGATGTCTCAATCGTCTTCTTGAAAAGAGTGTGAAATGTTCACCTTAACGTCTGCACACTGATGCAGAACAGACAACAGATCACATTATCTACAACTGTGAAAAAGTATCCTGTTAATGTCATTTCCCAGACATCCGCACATGAAATATCAGTTAAGTGCCTGAACAACCTTAAATAAAACACACTTAACACATACCATAGTGCTGGTTTGTGTAGTCGTAACTACTGCCCGAGCTGGTGCCTCCGATCGTTCAGAAGTACTGCGGTCACCTCCAAAGATGCGTTCAAGTAATCTTAAGTTGGGTGATTGTAAAAATCTTCTCGGTAAACGGTGTACTGTATGTAAATCAGCTGCACCTATCATTTCAAATATTCAGAATCACGACTTATTACTGGTACTCTATTAGCAGCAGTCTTGAAAGCGGTGAGTAAAGGCTGATGATAGAATCTCTCGCTAGCAAGCATTTAGTCTCTACGAGATCCCTGAAATTTCTTAATCTTATCAATACGACGTGACATGAAATTTATAACAGTGCTACTAAGACTGCTACGCAAGAAGTCACACAACACATGCTAAGATTTCAAATTTGAGGTTGACAATGTTCAAACTATGTGGTAGTTGCAATTCATGAATAATTCCCATCCAGACACCAATGAGAACAAAACTCTTCACTGAACTATGTGTTTTGTAGTCGCAATTGACAATGGCCTAATTCCCTAGTTCAACAATATTATTAAGACATAAATACATAGAAATTAGTCTTTGAGATGACTAATAGACCAGCAATCTTGAAATATGCCTGTCGCAATTTGGCTATACTACTACTTAAACAATCTGAAGTGCAACGCATCCACCTACATAAGTGGTGAATACTGAGTTACCTACTAATTTGTGGTCAAACAAATCACGATATACAACGGTAATGACCTACTGCCAACATAACCCACACTCGACTACGTCTTCTTGTAGTAAACTACTTATCTTAGTAAGATGTACCACCTAACTAGTACTTTGAATTATGCTATGGTTACTGACCCCGATCAACTCCTTTGTTTTGTGCTTGAACTCTCAGATGTTATGTTATTTGAAATAAAAAATCACGCTCCCGGACCACACTCACAGAAACTTTATACTGACAAAGCTCTATTCTCAGGATGTAAGTGCATACACCACCCTGATTCCGTCTGTTTTAAAGAGAATTATGGTGAGATGCAGATATCGTTTCTTTACTTACAATACCGCAGGGACCTGGAGCTCTGGTGATTACTTCTACCTTAACTTTTGTCGAATTCTGAAAAATAATCTAGAAACGAATGTATATTTTAAAACTTAATACCGCTCATAAGAAGTAAAGACCATTAACTTAGTAATTATTCACATATCTAGCACAGATTTCAAACGCACTAAAGTACCAAAATGATCTCGCATCTTTTACCGAAACACCGTCTCAGCATATTCAGAATAAAAGCAAATAAGCACATAAATTTATTACCAAGGCTCAAACTGAAGATTAGACAACTAACTTGGGAATACACAGATAAGCACAGCTAAATATTATTTTGTGTTTAAAGCAACAAGTACAGAAGTAGAGAATAAACTTGTTTTTAAATTAAAGTTGATGGCAAAAACCGTTTTATATTTACCCGTGAATAAGTTGTATTACCATTTGATACCTTTGATCACTTCACTCAATGTGGCGGCACTGCGTCTAAGTTTCTCGAGCTCAGAAGGACTAAGTTGTTGTTGAATCACATGGCTGATGCCTGCTGAAGTGACAAGACATGGGAGACTCAGATAGATGTCCTCAGTTATACCATGAATGCCTTTAACAGGAACAGAAAGGGGATACACTGTATGAAGATTATTCAAAATTGAGTTGCATAGTGACTGACAAGTGAGCCCTATGGCCCACGAAGTGTAGCCCTTAAGACGTATAATATCATAAGCACTTTGTACCACTCGTTTGTGAATCTCATCGAATTTTTCGGCATCTTTGTCGGTTCCTATAGCCGGGTTTACAGATGATAAGCGAACTCCACCAACATTGACATTACTCCAAACAGGGACACTGGAGTCACCATGTTCACCAATTACGTAACCATGAACTGAATTGGCAGAAACACCTAGTTTCTCACCTAAAAGAAACCTGAATCTGGCTGAGTCAAGCATTGTTCCAGTTCCAATCACTCTATGTGCTGGGAATCCACTCAGCTTATGTGCCACGTACGTTAAGACGTCAACAGGATTTGAAACGACCACGATTATACAATTCGGGCTGTACTTGATAACGTTCGGGATAATGAACTTGAAGATTTCCACGTTGCGCTGCACTAGATTTAATCTTGATTCTCCTTCGTTCTGTCTCGCTCCAGCTGTAATTACAACAATATCTGAGTTTTCAGAGAATTTGTAATCTGTCCCTCCATTTACTTTGCATCTCCGTAAGAACTGCTGACCATGCTGAAGATCTAAAACCTCACCTTTGACCTTATCTGCAACTACATCAATGAGGGCAATCTCTCCGACGACATGCATTAGAGAAAAAGCAGCTGCCATTCCAACTGCTCCGACACCAACCACAGTAACTTTCGATCGTGATCTTGACTCAGTGCCCTCTGGAGCGACTGCTTGCATTATTGATTCGCATGTGAAACTCATCTTTTCGAGAAATACGCTCAGTTAAAGTGAACAACCAACTACGTGACCAAAACACAGAAAATCAAATTACCACTTGTGGGAGTGCACTTGATTTATATTACAGTTCAGTAGTTAAAACGCTATCAATTTTCAATGTTACAGTTAACAGCAACAGTATTTACATTTTATTTATCGGATGTGCAGTAAAGTAAAGCATATAAACTGTCCGGAAAACGGACTAAATTGGACGCCTAGTATTAGGATCATCATGGTTAGATTCTATGGCACCACTCGTTGCTTCCAGTGTTTTACAACTACTCAGCTAATCAGGAATGTGCGTCACCATTAGACGTTGGACACAGCAATTTACAGCAGCCAGTGTATAGAATTGTTGCTGTATTTCATCACTAACTTCTTACTCTAGAATTCTGGTTTTCTGTGTTTAACTGCATCACCTGTCCAGATAATGAGACCACTTCTATTTTATATGGACAATGGATTCATGTATTCACTGCATCAAATCGAAGATTCTGACTCATGGGTTCAAAATGAAGTGCTTAAGACACTATTCAGTGGAGCAACTCTTAGTGACAATTATACCGGTATAACCAATGGAATGATATGATTTGACTATTCCCGTCACAAGGTAATAGGCAAGCTGCCAGATGGTTTGAGGCACGTGCTAATTCTTCGAGATTTCAGGGATGACGCTATTTGATTGAAAAGCGATGTCGCTTCCCTAAACAGCTTCCTGGTTCCTTCAAGGGAAACGGTAACCTATGAGGGGTGTTTAAACACAACCTAACGGATTTCCTACCTTGCTTCATTTGCGTCTTAAGCCCAGCGAACGGCAAACCGATATCCCCTTTTATGATTACGAGGCCGTACGCCAATGAGTCTGCGGATAGAGTCTCACATTCTGAGGTTTTAATTTCCCAGAAAAGTTGTGTACGGTTCTTGAAAGATTGAAATAGTGTCATATTCATTCTGAGGGCTCTGAAGGCATTTTGTCACTCTAACTAACCGTCTTAGTGGTGAAAATTACGTGGAGACTCGTCCTTTCACCTGTTATTTATTATGAGTCTCTGAATAAAATGCTACTTTCGTTTGTAAGTTCTTTGAAAAGATGCAGCAAATTCCTGAACAGTACATCGTGTGCAGAAATTTTTCCGGCTGTGAAGCTGCAATCTGTAGACACATTAGAGAATTTACAACGGAGTCGTAAGCCAGAAAAAGAATTAGTCTGTGTCTTTAAGGGTGCCCAGCTTGATTCGCAAAATCCTGCCTCTGAATACAAAGCCAGTTTGCGTATAGACTTTGAAAAAACCAGCTTCGGTCTCTTGATGCCATCGCCCTTTTGTGAATGACATATACGTCGTTTACATGCATTTCATATGACTTCTAAATGAAAAAGTTCTGAGGAATACTCCTGATACATTTTTAGGCTTTCAACGGGAAAGCTATTGTAAGAAGACTTGTGTACTTGGAAAAGTTAGGTTGTATTCTGGAGTGGTGAAGATTTGATGGAAAGAGGAAGAGAAAAGTTCACAATCAAACCATCCAGCATGGAGAGTGAAACTACATCTGAATCAAGAAGAAGGTTCGATACCGTACGCAGCAAAGTTATATGGGAGAACTGACTTCGAGATCTATTTTCCCCAATTATTTGTGATTCATTTAATACATACATGGGTATTTTGCGAAGACAATATCCCCATATTTGTTTACGTGTTCTTTTGGAACACCAGTTAGCAGATTTTTCCTGGAAACTTACATATAGATCCCTGTATAATTGGTGTATTCCTTCATAAACGGAAATAAATATATTATTACCAGTTGAGCAACGAATCATCTTCATTATCTTAAAAAGGAGCTTCATTTGCGAATTCTCCGGAAGTCCCACAAATCATAATGGGAAAAGTTTTGGCCTTTTGCTTCAGTGTAGTGGGACTTAACGTAGCGTAGGGAACTTAGTGTTTTCCAAATATGGGTCGCAACGACGATGTTACTACACATATAAGCAATAGATCTTCGCAAGTGTAGCCCACCATACTTGATCGTGCCCGTAAAATAAGGCATGCATTTTCATGTAAATTTGTAAATTTATATGAAATACATTATTATTATTCTCAGTACTATGATGGGTTTTAATATCATTCAAAAATGGGGCATATTCTGTTCAGCTTGCGCGTTCTCAAATAGGAGGGGATCAGCTTGAAATGGTACAGTTATCTTCTAGACTACTAGATATAGAGCTTTTTGGGCGTTGAGTTCGATTTTCCTGAATGTATTTGAAGCTTCATATTTTATCATATTTTGCGTTTACTGAGTCTGATGTTAGCGCCGAGGTATTTCAGTATACATTCGAATGATTCCAACTATCAATCGTTATTCCATGTTTGCGGGAGTTTCTCGAATAATTTGTAAAATATTGTGGCTTCTTCCATACCGCCGATTTGATTAGCTGGTGTAGTCGTTCAACACTTTTAACATTAATCTTTCAGCTCTCATGTAATTGGAGGTGTTTTTGGGAGAGGAAACTCAAGGATTTGGCGGCGAAGGTGAAATATATTCGGAAACATTTTCTTAAATAAATAAATAGATTTATTCTCATAATACAGTACATGAGGGACGCCAGTTTACAGGCGTTGTCAGCCACGTCTTGTAAACCGTTAATGCCCAGCTCTTGCTACGCTGGGACTCACGCTGTTCCTCGAAGCTTCTCAGAAACGCTTAGTACGAACGGACGCAAAAACCAGAACCCAGTTTGGCGACTTGAGAATTATTTATTCTAACACCAACATAGCAAATGTACAACTAAGCTTTACAACTAAGGTCTATGAACAATTATTACAATAATAAATCACAATATTACTTCTGACGGTTGTCTCCTGACTTCTTTCTGAACAGCGACCGATGAGGCGATGACTGGTATTGGTTCATAAAATCATTGACAGTCAGCCGTAAGAACTACTAGAGATATGACTGCAAATCTTTGTTAATGGCACAGATGCATTCACTCTGTGTAATCTCACATATCTGAGCGACCCTTATATTTTTTCCATATGACTGTTCTTTTTTCATCACATTTATGCTCATTAGAGTTCCATTAAATTTCTTTTTTCCTCTACCTTTGTGTGCTACATGGAATGTGATAACGTAAACGGGTGCACTTGTGTGCAAGCTTCTATGTTGAAAGTCAGTCTGTCAGAATGATCTATAGTCCAGGTATAATGAAATGCTAAAACGCGGATAAAAATAGGCAAAATGTCAACAAATGATAATCTTATTTTTTCATTTAGTTCTTGCCTAACTGAAAAAAGTGATCTTACAATAATTTCTACTCTTACCCGAGATAACTCTCACATTCTGTTTGTTATATCTCATTAGTTAGTTTATTTTATCTCGTAGATCGAATGCGAATTCGAGACACATCTGATGAAATATGTTTTGCTTATAACCAAATAAATATAATATTTTCAAGTGTGGGATGTCACAAATCGAACTGCTGCACTTCTGTGCTGAATTCCACGTTAAAACTCACTCAGTCAGCTTTGTCATTGCAGATGCATAATGTCACAGCTCCCTGGTGTTAATTAGCTTAAACAATTATTCATGCTGTTTCCTAAGTACTCTATGCATTTTCAAATTCCTAAAATCGTCCAGATAAAGTGCACCGAAGAGGAAAACATAAACCAAAAGTCAGTAACACGGACGTAAGAAATAGTGTGAATATAAGTGAATGAGATGAGTGACCTATTATCCCCGTAGTACGCTTAACTACAATACTCATGTGTATGAGTGAGGTAAAAAGTTGTGTGACTGACTTGATATGATTATGAGCGATAAATTGTGCTGGGAAACGTCGTTAGATAATATTGCCGTACAAAATAAAATCGTATCCATAATGCAGTTATACTCTACCACAGTGCCGAAGTTTTATCCTTATACCAAAATTAATTATCTTTTGCGATATATGTCTCCTAATTGTTTAATTTTCGTCTTCCTCACTGCAAGTTGTCAGTCTTCGTAGACATTCTACTAGGTGTCGTCATACGTAATGTCTGCAAGCATTTTTTCAATACATCTACCTCCCGCAAAAATGTTGTTACGATGCCTTCAGATTATTTACATTTGGCCGTAATGCAATTAGTATGCTGATATTACTGATGCAATGACATGCAAGACCTGTACATGTTACTGTGAAGTTTGCCTGTAATAACATTCCCTCATATTAAATACAATGCTTGTGACAACAATTCGTCATTGTCTTTTCATTGCGTTGACAGGTGCGTATATATTAGAAAAAGCTAACCTTGTCGGATTAGTTCTCTAAATTACAATCACTAAGTGCCCATACCTCTGCTGAATACCAAGCGCTACTCGTGGCCCATGAACTACTTATTACTGCATTCGTAAATAACTATCAAACTATTATTACATAGAGTAGTGAGACAGAAGGCGTATGAAATTTAGATATTAATGTGTATCTGAAGTTAATGACAATGTATATGTACATGTTTCATTTCCAAACAAGAAAATTCTATAGGGTAATGTAGGGCTGAGCGCGGTGAGTTAATAATATATTCTTTACTGTATACACCATGTATGAGTGAAATGCTTCTATTCAATTTTCGGCGAAGCTTCATTATCACCCTGCAGGGTTTCCTCAATGCACTCTCATAGGGAATAATACTTGGTACTGAGGAATCCAGCCAAAAGCTTCAGTGACAAAGTCGAATGACTTTTCAACTAAAAGCCTCAATACTGATATTAAGTGTGATTTACCTGTAAACTGAGGGACCCTAGTGTAACACAGCACCATACTCCAGCAGGGTATTCTTTGTGTTTTACAGGTACAAGTAGGATTCATGGGTTGAGCATTTGTTAAATATGGATGCGACCTATTGAGTCACTTAGACGAAAGGTTGACGAAATGCAATACCTTTCACACGCACTTTCAGATATAGGCACGTGTCGCTTCACATGAACTCTGGGCCATACTGAGTAGGCATTCCTTTAAATCTACCCTGCCTTGTACGCTTAATTATTGCTCGTACATATGTGATGACTTGGTGCGTTTCCTAGTTTGCCTATAATTACGGAATGTACATTATATTAAGTGATGTTCCTTCTATAATCTTAACCGATGCCACATTGGTTGACACGATTAAAGGAACGGGTTTTAACGTGGTGTTTTCTGTAGCTGCGAAACGTAGATACCCAGTTTCGAAATGACATCA